GATTTAACGCTCACCTCAACACTATTGGGTTACTTGAGAGAGAGAGAGAGAGAGAGAGAGAGAGAGAGAGAGAGAGAGAGAGAGAGAAAGAGAGAGAGACTAATTATATTGATAGACAGTATAGTCATGTCTGGTGCGGGTCACTTCGACCTTTCTGGTCAGGGCCAGCCCACGCTGGAGGAAAAAACTTCCACGATCCATGTAGAAGGACGGAGAGTGTTGGCTCCAGGGAAACATCGCCACTGGTTCAATCAACAAGGCACAAGTTCCAGGCCTCAAAGTGTTGACAAGATGTTTGCCAGCAGGACGGCCGTGTTGTTTTTCTTACTGTTGCTGTCATCAATTTCACCAACGATGAGAATGTTCTTACCAACTGGACGCTGCCAACAGAACCGAATTGGATGATATCGATGACGTCGCAGATTCTGATTGGCTGACCATGTGAATGTGTACACGTAGGCAATTCCCGACAACCTGGAGATAAAGACTCACGTGAGCGTTGTTCTGGTCACTCCTGTTGCGGGATATCCTTCTGTCACTGCCGATGTTGTTCTAAACTACGTGAGCGCTGACAATAAGGTAAGCTTTTCCTAGACCGGGCCTGTATCTGGTGCTGTAAGAGAGAAGAAAACACTTTTCTCTTCTTAGCGCAGTTGTGAAATTGTTAATACAATGTACTGAGATTACACGGCAGATGTCTGGCAAATGCCTTGTAATTCCTTTCCTTTCACTTGGTTATTTCAGCCTGTTTCCGTCTGTAGCTCGCTTTTCCAAAAACTAAATGAGACACTGTTGTGTTGATTTGTTTCTCTTTACTTTTCTCAGATGTCACTGTGCGAAATGTTATGTCCCGCTGATGATGAACACACAGCAAAGTGATGTCTGTTACAAACTAACATTTAGAAATGTTAAAGATTACAAAAGTACATTTTTTAAAAATATATTTTATCGGATGTTTGTACACTGTAAAAAGAATTCGTCATCTTAGTGGGTGATTGGACGGTTTTGATTTTAAGGAAGGATCTTCTTTTTCTCTGTCCATAGTCTCCGCCTGTCTGTCTTCTTTTTTCTTAGTACAAAATGACCGTGTAAGTGTTCATGAGCTTTTCTTTGTTCAAATAAATAATCCCCTGTTCATCAAGATAATACGGATAACTTTAAGGTGTGGTCTCTTGAATGTGAAAATTAATACTTTGAAAATTTAAGGGTTCTCAGCTGAAACATGCCAAAGACAGGGATTCAATTCCCACGTGAGAAAGTATGTGAATTTATCATTGATTGCATTCATTTGTGTGTTGGAACTTTATATTCCACTCAGTTCGGATTAACCATGACAAACAGGATCGAAGCAGCCCACCTCTTTAATAATCTGAATTGTCTTGAAGTGTGAGTAAAAGGTTTTTTTGTTTTTTTAAATGAAGTATCATCTTTCAGGAAAATTGAGTAACTTTGAACGAACAAATCTTTTCCTTTTGCCATGGGGTCCAGAGAACAGATTCGGTCGACAGTGAAAATGGCAGGTTTTGTTTTTCAGTTGGAAGCGAAATGTTTGTGGGGGCGGGAGGGGGGGAGGATGTGGAAGCAGAAGGAAGGGTCTTTTCTTGCTGTGTCCGATATTTCTTGTCTGACATTCCTCCTTTTCTTTTTCTATGCCTTGGCATCCTTTCATTATGTCTATATCTCAGTACACAGCTAAATGACAGCTAGTTTGTCGATGTCCCTCTGTTTACTTAAGAAACCATTTTCTCATAGTCCCACAGCTCCAGGAACCTGACCAATTTGTTTGTCTGACATCGGTGTGTGGAGACTGAGTGTATCCAGCTAAAGAAACAAGATGTCCTTACAAGTTCTATGTCTCTGTGTCGCTCTCTCCACGAAACTCACCTCTGGCCAATATTCAGGTAACCCGAGCCCTGGCTGAGAAGTGAAAACTTCAACTCTTTTTCTGTCACCCAGGTGCTGTTATGTGTGTATGTAAGTGTGCATGTGTGAATGTGTATTTGTGCCGGTGTGCGGGTGTGTGTTTGTTTGTGCTGTTATAATATTGGAGTGTGTACCAGGTGACCAGAAAAAAGTTCGCCCAAAAGAAAGCCGATACAACCATTATGAATTAAGATACGAACACCAACGTTTGCAGAAGCATGGTTCATCTGTTTGGATTTATTCTGCATTAATGATAATAAAATATGACAGCTATAAAGTTACAATATATCTTTCAGATACCCTCAATTTCAAGTAAAACACATTTTGATACGCGGGGTGAAATTGATCAAGGGAAATATCTTTCGTGCCCTCTGTGATGGTTTCTTTCATATCTTGGCTACTTTCAAAGGTTTTCCATACATACCTTGGGGGGCTCTCGTGGTCTACAGGTTAAGTTGTTGGCCTCTCATTCAAAAGGTCCCTGGTTCGAATCCGGGTAGCGACCGAACAATTTTCTTCTCTAAATTTGTCTCCTTTCACCTCATTTCCTGCTCTCTAGCAATGTTCTGTCGTCTGCTTTCGTCTCCTCTTTCTGCCCCCACCCCCTCACCTCCTTTGCCCCTTCCTCTGGGCTCCTGATTCTTTCTGCAGCCTTTCTACTGCTACTCCTTCGCTTCTTCTTACTGCTGTCTTTCAGCCACACCTCTGATTTTCCGGTAGGAAAGATCTAGATCTACACCTAGCCTTCTCGGACAAGCGCGAAAAATCTCGGAGGGCCTGTGTGCAAGTTGCGCACGTTAAAGAACCTTTGGTGGTCTAAAATCGATAAGAGTAGGCTTCGGCCGCCACCCTGGCAAAATTCATAATGTCCTATTAACTGAAAATATTAGGTGTGTCCCGCGCGCTCATATGACCTTATGCAGTTGTGAGCGCCGTAAAACACTTTACAAAAGAAAAACTTTTAATACATACCTTGTCCTTCCAACACACCAAATATTGAACGTCTAATGGACTCAGGTCGGGATCGTTTTGGGTCAAGTTGTGCTCTGTTGGGATGACTGTTCTGTAACCAAAATGATTGCTGATCCGCCGAAAAAAAGCTCTGGTGTTATGATGAGCAGCCCTGTCTTGCTGGAAGTTCTCATTCTCTCTCCCTTCGTCATCAACAAAAAATTCTACGCTTCTCCCAAAATTGGGTAGGATGACGAGGTATCGGTCTGACTTGATCGAATCACGGACCACCCTAACCTTTTCACGAGTGCATTGTTTTTGCCGGCTGCCTATCGTGTGTTACTCGGGGCTTAGAATTCGAGTTCTTTTCTTTTGTGTACCCAAACCTTTCAATATTTGCAACCCATTTCAAAATGGACCTTTTGCTTGGATTGTTACGTTTGTTAAAGATATCTATCCCGTATGTTCGAGCCAAAAATGCTCGTGTAGATTTGAGAGATTTCGTTTGTTGATACATCTTCACTGCTAAAACATGTTGTACAGGGGTAAACTGTTGCGTCAGCTTACCGTTGTGCAACAGGCAATGAACTTTTAAAAAATCATAATCCCGATGGATATTCTAGCTTTCGGCCCATTCAAGGATGATAAACAAGACAGTTAATACCATTTCTTGAAACGAACTTTTTATCTGATCAGCTGGTATATAGTATAATGTGTTTCTCTCCCCCTCTCTCTCTCTCTCTCTCTCTCTCTCTCTCTCTCTCTCTCTCTCTCTCTCTCTCTCTCTCTCTT